ATTCGCGGACGTTCCGAACGGGCTCGGTGCGATCTCCAAGGTTCCCGCAGCGGGCTGGGCGCAGATCGCGGCGTACGCCGCGTTCTGCGAGCTGTCACAGAACCAGGCCCCGGGCACGCCTGGCGCGGCGGGCGACTTCGGTTGGAAGGTGCTCACCGCCAGCGACCCCGTGGAGAAGCAGAAGAAGTTGGCTGCTGAGATAGCAAACGGTCGCCTTGCCATGATGGCGATCATCGGGATGTTCTTCCAGGACGGTTTGACTGGCTCTGCGTGGGGCGACTGGGCGCTCTACACCGCCTCTCCGCTGCGCGCGTTCGAGAGCGAGCTGGGCGTTCAGGACCCGGTGGGCTTCTGGGACCCTGCTGGGTTCACGGCAGACGGCAGCACGGAGAATTTCGCGCGCCGCCGGCAGACGGAGCTGAAGCACGGCCGCGTGAGCATGTTGGCGACCATGGGTTACATCACGCCCGAGATCACTGGCAAGCTGCCCGGCTACTTGTCGCCTTCGGCTGGCCTGAAGTTCGCGGACGTCCCGAACGGGCTCGGGGCGATCTCCAAGGTTCCCGCAGCGGGCTGGGCGCAGATCGTGGCGTACGGCGCGTTCTGCGAGCTGTCCCAGGACCAGTCCGCTGGCACCGCTGCCGCCGCTGGCGACTTCGGCTTCAAGGTGCTGACGTCCAGCGACCCCGCGGAGAAGCAGAAGAAGTTGGCGGCGGAGATCGCGAATGGCCGTCTTGCTATGATGGCGATCATCGGGATGTTCTTCCAGGACGGTTTGACAGGCTCTGCCTGGGGCGACTGGGCGCTCTACACCGCCTCCCCGCTGCGTGCGTTCGAGAACGAGACGGGCGTGCAGGACCCGATGGGTTTCTGGGACCCGGCGGGCTTCACATTTGACGGGAACTCGGAGAACTTCTCGCGCCGCCGGCAGACGGAGCTCAAGCACGGTCGCGTGTCCATGTTGGCCACCATGGGCTACATCACCCCCGAGGTCAGCGGCAAGTTCCCTGGGTACTTGTCCCCGTCTGCAGGAATCAAATTCGCGGACGTCCCGAACGGGCTCGGTGCGATCTCTAAGGTTCCCGCAGCGGGCTGGGCGCAGATCGCGGCGTACGCCGCGTTCTGCGAGCTGTCCCAGAACCAGGCCCCGGGCACGCCTGGCGCGGCGGGCGACTTCGGTTGGAAGGTGCTCACCGCCAGCGACCCCGTGGAGAAACAGAAGAAGTTGGCTGCTGAGATCGCGAATGGCCGTCTTGCCATGATGGCGATCATCGGGATGTTCTTCCAGGACGGTTTGGCGAATCTTAGTAACAGACGGGTAGAGTGTATCTGCGCTCACGTGCGTGCTCTCGTGTGTGTGTGTGTGTGTTGCGCGTGTCTGACATGTATTCCCGTGCTTGTGTGTGTGTGTGTGTGTGTTTGCGCGGCGTGGCACGCGTGCTGGTCTGGCCCAGGCAGCATTTCTGGTCCTCGGAAATAAATGCCACGTCCAGCATTGGCTATGGTGTCGGGGTGCGCGCCCGTAGTTCTCACCGGCCTACGAGCTCCTGGGGCCGCGGTGCCGGGCGTGGACCAGCCAGCCACGCTGGCACGTCCACAGACCGCTGAGGCGGACGGGAGCAATATGCGGGTCGGGGTCCGAGGCTGGGCAACACGGCGCGGAAATAGGCTCGCAGTGCCCAAACGTCCCGGTTGAGCCGAGCGGCAAGGGGCGGCCGACCCACAGATGGGGGAGGTACCGGGTTCCCCCCTGGCCCGGATAGCTCCTTCCGTCGCCTTCCGGGGACCTGCCTTTGTTTGGTGCGGTGGCGGTGCGCCGGTGGAACAGGTTTCGGGTAGCACGACCCTTCCTGTGTTCCTCATCGCACTCAGTCGGATCAGACTGTGACGGGGGGCGGGCGGGCACGACTCGCTGCCGTGCGTGGGCGGGGGCGGTTCGGGTGCTTTGGACCCCCCCCCCTGTCCAGCAGGCAGCGTTCCCGCCTGATCACCGGGGGCCGGCAAGCGAGGTGCCTCGGTTTGGGCCTTTGGATCCTCAGGTGCCTCTCCAGGGCGTTGCGCGTTTGGTCCCCCGACCTCCCCAGGGTAGGGCGCTTCGTTGACATGGGGGTGGGAGTGGCGCGTGGGGAAGCGGGCGGGGAGGCGCCGCCAAAGAGGGCACGGAGGGCTACTCGAGCCTGGCGTAAACGCAGGAGACCAAAGAGAACACGTGGCATTGGGCCCCAGGCAAACGAAAGCTCCGAGGGTCCGAGTAGGCTGCTCGAATGCTTTCCGTCTGTCTTCCGCGTGTGCTTGGGTGGCCTGCATGCTGGGGCGTCGTCGCCTTCTGGTCACTCCCACAGCGCCAGGAAGGGGGCTCGCACCGCATCCCAGGGAGTGGGGGCCTTGTGCCCTGTCGACGTGGAGCCAATTTTCCCGCGCTGGGAGGTGGCCTTGCACCATCTCCCAGGGATCGAGCAGTAGCGAAGCGTCTTGGCTTGCCTATAGGCCTACCAAAGAATGCTCTAAGAAGCTCTTGTGGTCTTTAGGAAAGGTTGTTCGAGCATTTCTGTCTGAGACTGCCTTGTGTTAATATATGTGGTTGTTGTTTCAAGAACATCGTTTGTTGCTATTCGAACACTTGTTGACCCTAAGAAAATGCCGTGGTTGGCTTCATAGACATGCCAGGACGGTCGGTCCCTGTTCAAAGGGAGTGGGCCCTTTTCCTGGCAGGCGCTGACCGGGAAGAAACGCTCGGGGGGCTGCTCTGGCAAGGGGGGTCGAGGAAGCAACGGGGGGGGGCGTGTCGTGTCGCGGGGAGGATCGCCGGCCGGGCTAGATTCAGAAATTCCAGAATTCGCTAGGGGCTGGTTTCCTTTCCAAACAGCCGAACCCCTTCCGAAACCCTCCGAAAACCTTCCAGAAAGGGTTATTGAAGGGTTTTCGTTGTTTGGGGGGAAACCAGTTCCCAGCGAATCCTGGGTTCAGGCTAGTTTTCACAATGGCAGTGTCTCAGTTGGAGTTGTGGTGCGATGTTTTTTTTTTTTTTTTCGCATGTGTATGCAAGTGGGGTGGGCGCGCAGCGCGTGTTGTGCGTACACGTAAATGCGCATGCGAGGTTGTCTTGAGAGTTCCAATCTTTGCTTTTTTGCTGGTGCATCGATCATCGGCATTCTCTTCCAGGACGGGCGTAGCAAGGTGCGACTTTCCGACGAGGCGCCTGCATGGTGCAGTGCGTGAGCGACCCCGAGAAGCCCAATATGGGGCTCTGGTTGCCAGGGACCCCTCCGCCTCGTTACTGCTGGTCTGAGTCCGAGCTAGCCGTGGGCATTGCACATGTTTCGTTGAGTGCCTCCCGACCTGATGGGGGGTGCAGGAGCACAGAAGGGGGATCACGTTTGTGGCGTTTGTAGGGGGAGGTTGGAGGGGGAGCGGGGGCGCGGGGAGTGCCACGTGCAGGGTCGTTCGGGCTACTCTGGCCGGGGCCGTTTTCTCAGTGTTGGCCATCGTGCTCCAAGGATGAAAACCTTCTGTCCCACATAGGTGGCAATCGCGTAGTAGATGGGCCTGGGTTGGGTGCGTGGCGTCTCCTCCGCGCTCTTTTCTTAGCTCTCTCTCCCTCCCCTCTCTCGCCCGATCGGCAGGGAGGGGTCTGGGGGGGGGGTCGGTCTTGCTGGAAAAGTGGAGGGAGGCGTACCCGCCCACATCATCCCCCCCTCGAGAACGGGGGATTGTGGAGCCCCTCGGGGTTCCAGGGCGCGCGCGCGAGGCTTTCACACTGAATTCACGCGTGCGTCTTTCAGTGGCGTCCTCCTCTCCTTCCGCCTCCCCCTCCTCCTCCTTCTCCTCCTTTTTTCTCCCCCCCGAGAAAAATTAGCCTGATGAAGGACCCAATCATATGCAGGTGTGAGTACCGCGATCGTGATTCACTTTTTCGGTGGTGATCCCGATGAGACAAGGGCCCGTGCTAGGGGTGTGCCGAAATGAGTGGCGTGGTACACAACGCGAACGAAAACGATTGATCTGAGTACGTGGGGAGACTGAGCGCGGGCGAATCTGAGCGCGAGTGCGTCTGACTGTGAACGAATCTGCGTGCGAGCGAGTCTACGCGCATGAATGCGACTTTGACAAAGCATGGTGCAATCGCATATGAATGTCAGTAATTTGAATACTCGTGACGCTGGGCGTGGCCGCCGCAAGGAGCTTCCCCGGGACTCCCCGACGGCATCGCCCAGGCGCCGCGACGCCAATGTCGGCGCGCCCTCCCGCGAGGATCGCGCCCGCGCACTCAAAAGTCCAAGGCTGCGGGCGCAGCGCAGCGCGGACTCCCCGCTACGCGCGCAGGTCGCCCCGGAGGGGTCCCAGCGACGCGCGCGGGCCGTCCGCTGCGCGGAGCAAAGAGAGCTAGGTGGCTGGCTGATAGCGGGCAAGGCTCTTGCCGCTGGGCAGAGCGACGACGGGCGAGCGAGGCGCGGAAGACGGGGGTGTACTGGGTGGGGGAGACGCACGCGGATTGCGCCACCGGGACCTTCGGTGGGATTCCCTATGGGGCCACGACACGTTGCGCTGGGCGGGGGAATCGCATGCGGACCGACTGCGCCGCGGGGACCTTCGGCGGAGCCCCTCTGGGGCCACGAAACGCTGCGCTGCGTGGGGACGACGCATGCGGACTGCGCCACGGGGACCTTCGGCGTGGCTCCATATGGGGCCACGAAACGTTGTGTTGGGCGGGGGAGACGCATGGGGACTGCGCCACGGGGACCTCCGGCGTGGCTCCAGATGGGGCCACGAAGCGCTGTAGTGGGTGAGGGGGGCGCATGCGGATTGCGCCACGGGGTCCTTCGGCGGAGCTCCTTATGGGGCCACGAAGCGCTGTACTGGGTGAGGGGGACGCGTCAGATTGCGTCACGGGGGCCTTCGGCGGAGCCCCTATGGGGCCACGAAGCGCATGTGGTACACACCACCGGGGCCTTAGGTGGGCTTCCCCATGGTGCCACGAAGCGCTGTACTGGGCGGGGGGGACGCATGTGGTACACACTACTTGGGCTTTAGATGGACCTGCCTATGGGGCCACGAAGCGCTGTACTGGGTGGGGGGGGGGGGGGTGGACGAAACGCTGTACTGGGTGGGGAGGCGCATGTGGTACACACCATTGGGGCCTTAGGTGGGCTTCCCCATGGTGCCACGAAACGCTGTACTTGGTGGGGGAGGATACGCATGCGGTACACACCACTGGGGCCTTAGGTGGACGTCCCTATGGGGCCACGAAGCGGTGTACTGGGCGGGTGGGGGCGCATGTGGTACACACCATTGGGGCCTTAGGTGGACCTCCCTATCGGGCCACGAAGCGCTGTACTGGGTGGGGGGGGCGCATGTGGTACACACCACTGGGGCCTTAGGTGGACCTCCCTGTGGGGCCACGAAACGCTGTATTGGGTGTGGGGGGGGGGCGCATGTGGTACACACCACTAGGGCCTTTGGTGGACTCCCCTATAGGACCACGAAGCGCTGTACTGGGTGGGGGGTGCGCATGTGGTACACACCACTGGGGCCTTAGGTGGATATCCTTATGGGGCCACCAAGCGCTGTACTGGGCGGGGGGGGGGGGCGCATGTGGTACACACCACTGGGGCCTTAGGTGGACCTCCCTATGGGGCCACGAAACGTTGTACTGGGTGGGGGAGACGCATGTGGTACACACCACTGGGGCCTTAGGTGGACCTCCCTGTGGGACCACGAAGCGTGAGAGGACGAGAGGAGGGAGGAGGAGGAGGAAGAGGAGGAGACGCGGGGACCGTCTCTCCAAAACGAAGACCCAACAAAACTGGTTGTTTGGGAAAAAGAAGCACACATTTGTTTCTCTGGGGGGGATCGGCGGCAAAAAAATGAATGCGACGTGGCCTCAACTGCCCTCCCGCGTAGAAGGATCCCGATTGAACGCCCCCACAAAAAAAAAACATTGTGCAATTTTCTACAGAAAGATTCCGATCGAAACCCTCCGATGAATGATTCCGACTGAAATCATCCACGTATGGATTCTTATTGAAATTATTCGCAAAAGGATTGATACTGAGATGCTTCGGCAGAAAGAACCCCCCGTTGGCATTGCATTGGCATTGGTTTGGCAATGGTTTGGCATCGCATTGGCATTGCGTCTTCATTGCGCTTGGCACTGCGTTGCTAGTGTGTTAGCATTTCGCAAGCATTGCGCTGGCGAGTCCTAATGGGACCTTCCACAGAAGGACTCCGATGGAAACGTTCTACAAGAAGGACTCCGATTGAAACCCTCCGCAACAACGGTTCATATTGACACCTTCCACAGAAAGATCCCATGCGAAACCCTCTACAGGAGGATTCCCATTGAAATCTACCACAAAGTATTTCCCCCATTGGCAGTGCAGTGGCATTGGGTTGGGATCGCTTTGGCATTTGTGTGGCATTGCGTTGGCACTGCGTTGGCATTGCGCTGGCATTGCGCTGGCGAGTTCCAACGCTTCCCTTCGCAGAATGTACCCTGTTGAAACCCCCACACGAAGGATTCCGATTGAAGCATCCCACAAGAAGGTTCACATTGAATTCCCTCACGGAAGGATTCTATTCGAAGCCCTCCTAGAAGGATTTTTCTTGAACCCGGCCACAAAATATTTTACCCCATTGGCATTGTATTGGCATTGGTTTGGCAATGGTTAGGGATCGCATTGGCATTGGGTTGGCATTGCTCTGGGCAGTGCGTTACCAGTGTGCTTGCATTTCGCGAGCATTGTGCTGGCGAGTCCTAATGGAACCCTCCACAGAAGGACTCCGATGGAAACGTTCTACAAGAAGGACTCCGATTGAAACCCTCCACAACAACGGTTCATATTGACACCCTCCACAGAAGGATTCCATGCGAAACCCTCCACAGGAGGATTCCCATTGAAATCTACCACAAAGTATTTCCCCCATTGGCAGTGCATTGGCATTGGGTTGGGATCGCTTTGGCATTTGTGTGGCATTGCGTTGGCACTGCGTTGGCATTGCGCTGGCAATGCGCCGGCGAGTTCCAACGCCTTCCTTCGCAGAATGTATCCTGTTGAACCCCCCACAAGAAGGATTCCGATTGAAGCATCCCACAAGAAGGGTTCCCATTGAACACCCCCACGGAAGCATTCCATTCGAAGCCCTCCATAGAAGGATTCTTCTTGAACCCGACCGCGTTGGTTTGGCATTGCGTCGGCAGTGCGCTGGCGAGTTCTAATGGCTCCCCCCACAGAAGGATTCCTATGAACACCTTGCACAAGAAGGGATCCTTTTGCAAGCCCCCACATGAGAGATTCAAAGTGAAACCCCCACATAAAGATTCCAATCGAAACCCTCCACGGGAGGATTCCAATCGAAATCCTCCGAAGAAGGATTCGTAACCAAATCATCCACATAAGGATTCCGAGTGAAATCTGTTGGAAGACAGGAATCCCGCCATCGGCATTGCATTGGCATTGGTTTGGCATCGGTTTGATATCGTGTTGGCATTGTGTTGGCATTGCGATGGCAGTGCGTTAGGAGTGCGTTGGCATTGCGTTGACATTGCGCTGGCGAGTCCTACCCAAACACATCACAGAAGTATTCCTATTGAACACCCCCTCAAAAAGAATTTCTATTGAATCCCCCCACAAGAAGGATTCAAATTCAAATCCTCAACAGGAGGGTACCATGCGAAGCCCTCCATATAATGTTTCATGTTGAAATCCCCCGAAGAAGGGTTCTTAGAAGGTCTGCGATTGAAATCTACAACAAACAATTCCTCCCATTGGCATTGCATTGGCATTGGTTTGGCATTGCGTTGGCACTGGTTCGGCATTGCGCTGGCGAGTTCGAATGGCTCCCACCACAGAAGAATTACTTGCCTTCCACAAGAAGGGATCCTTTTGAAAGCCCCCCACATAAAAGATTCATTCTGAACCCCCCCACGGAAGAATTCCAATCGAACCCCTCCACAGGTAGGATACCTTTTGGAATCCACCACAAATGATACCCCCCATTGGTATTGCATTGGCATTGAATTGGGATCGCCTTGGCATTGGTTTGGCATTGCGATGGCAAAGCTTTGGCATTGCGTTGGCATTGCGTGGGCCAGTTCTAATGGCTCCCTCCGCAGACGGACTCCTACTGAAACCCGATTGAATCCTTCCACTTTAAAGATTCCTAGTGAAACCCTCCACATGAGGATCCCTATCGAAACCCTACACATAAGCATTGCTATTGAAATCCTCCGACGAAGGATTCGTAACAACATCATCCGCACAGTATTATTATGGAAATCCACCTAACGAAAGGATTCCCCCATTCACATTGCATTGGCATTGGTGTTGGTTGGGAATGGATTTGTATCGCATCGGCATGCATTGGCCTGGTGCAGGAAATAGACAAAGAGAGAGAGAGAGAGAGACAAAGAGAGAGAGAAAAACAAAAAAACACGAGAGAACGGTATAACGAGAAACTATTAGTATGAGGGGATCACGGCGAAAAGGAAAAATGTCAAACAACAATCAAAGTTTACGGGTGAAAGACGTTTCACTCGATAAAACCGTATGAAAACGACGAGGGTTCCACAATCCCCCAGCCTCGAGAACCCTCCCAGCACGAGCACGAGCATGATGGCTATCATCGGAATATTCTTTTCAGGACGGTTTGACTGGCTCCGCCTGGGGCGACTGGGCGCTCTACACCGGATCCCCGCTGCGCGCGTTCGAGAGCGAGCTTGGAGTGCAAGCCCCCGTGGGCTTCTGGGACCCTGCTGGCCTCTCGAAGGACGGTGATGCTGCAGCCTTCAAGCGCCGACGCTCCACGGAGATCAAGCATGGCCGCGTGTCGATGCTGGCGACGATGGGCTACATCACGCCCGAGGTCGCTGGCAAGTTCCCAGGGTACCTCAGCCCGTCCAAGGGCCTCGCTTTCGAGGATATCCCGAATGGCCTTGCAGCCATTTCCAAGGTACCTTTCCTCGGGTGGCTTCAGATTGTTATCTACTGCCTGTACGTCGAGGCGTCTGGCCTTGGCTTCAACTACATCGGCACTGAGCAGACGCCCGGCGACGTGGGCTGGAAGCCGCCCCTGCTCTCTGGCTTTGACGGCGAGGCGAAGACAAAGAAGCTGAATGCGGAGATCGCCAACGGCAGGCTGGCGATGGTGGCGATCATCGGGATGTTTTTTCAGGATGGCCTGACTGGCAGCGCGTGGGGTGACTGGGCGCTCTACACAGACTCGCCGCTGCGCGCATTCGAGAGCGAGTTGGGCGTGCAGGCGCCGTTGGGCTTCTGGGATCCATTGGGGCTCTCTGCTGATGGCGACGTGAAGTCCTTCAAGCGCCGCCGATCTGTGGAGATTAAGCACGGCAGAATCTGCATGATGGCGACCATGGGTTACATCACGCCAGAGGTTGCTGGAAAGTGGCCAGGTTACATCAGCAAGTCTGAAGGGTTGAAGTTCGCCGACATCCCGAACGGTTTGGCGGCCATCTCCAAGGTGCCAGGACTAGGTTGGCTGCAGATCGCCTCTTGGTTTGCATTCTGTGAGATCCAGCAGGGCTACGACGCGGATGCCAAGACCGAGCCGGGCAATGTTGGGTGGAAGCCTCCATTGTTGGTTTCTGCCGACCCTGAGACACGGAAGCGCAGGCTGAACGCTGAGATCGCCAACGGTCGCCTGGCCATGATGGCGATCATTGGCATGTTCTTCCAGGACGGCTTGACTGGCTCCGCGTGGGGCGACTGGGCGCTCTACACAGACTCGCCGCTGCGCGCGTTCGAGAATGAGCTTGGCGTGCAGCCGCCGACTGGATTCTGGGACCCTGCGGGCTTCACGAAGGATGGCGATGCGGATGCATTCAAGCGCCGCCGGTGTGTTGAGATCAGGCATGGCCGCATTTGCATGCTGGCGACGATGGGCTACATCACCCCAGAGATAACCGGGAAATTTCCAGGGTACCTGTCTTTGGACGAGAAGATCCTATTTGAGGATGTCCCGAATGGTCTTGCAGCCCTCTCCAAGATCCCAGTTGGTGGATATCTTCAGATCCTCGCGTACTGCGGCTATTGCGAGTTCAGCGGTACTGGGGTGAAAGACGGTATCTTTTACGCTGGTAGTAGCGGTGCGCTGAAAGATGGCGAGGCGGAGCCGGGCAACGTTGGTTGGAAGCCTCCCCTCCTCACCAGCGCGGACCCTGAGGTCCGCAAGCGCAGGCTCAACGCGGAGATTGCCAACGGCCGCCTGGCCATGATGGCCACCATCGGCATGTTCTTCCAGGACGGCTTGACCGGCTCTGCCTGGGGCGACTGGGCCAACTACACGGACTCGCCGCTGCGCGCGTTCGAGAACGAGCTCGGCGTGCAGCCGCCCGCGGGCTTCTGGGACCCTGCGGGCTTTACCGCCGATGGCAGCGCGGAGGATTTTGCTCGGAGGCGCGCCACCGAGATCAAGCACGGCCGTATCGCCATGCTGGCGGCCATGGGCTACATCACCCCCGAGCTGATCGGGCCTTTCCCGGGGTACCTGTCCCCGCAGGCGGGCCTCAAGTTCGCGGACGTCCCGAACGGCCTCGGCGCCCTGTCCAAGGTGCCGCTCGGGGGCTGGGGCCAGATCTTCTTGTACTGCGCCTACGTGGAGATCTCCCAGGACCAGACGGTCCCGGGCTCCCCCGCCTCCCGCGGAGAGTTCGGCTTCACGCTGCTGTCGTCGCCCGACCCCGCGGAGAAGCAGAAGAAGTTGGCGGCGGAGATCGCCAATGGCCGGCTGGCAATGATGGCGATCGGCACGGCGGAACTACGAATAATGGCAACAGACGGGTAGAGTGTTCTTGCGCGCGCGTGCGAGCGTTTGAGTATTGCATGTGCCTGACGTGTATTTGCTTGCGTGTGTGAGGGCATATTGGTGAATGTGCATTATGCGTGTCTTGTATGTGTATGTGCGTGTATTGAGGGCAAATTGGTGAATGTGCGTGCTTGTGTGCGTTTACGCAGAGGGGCTGTGGGGCATGCGTGGAAAAAGAGATGCCAAGTCCAGCATGGGATATTGTGCTGGGGGGCGCGCCCGTAGTTCTCACCGGCCTACGCCCTGCTCCCGGGGCCAGGGTGCCGGGTGTGGCCGCCAACCACACCGGCGCGTCCACAGACCGCCGAGTCGGACGGGAGCACTCCGCGCTTGGAGGCAGGCGCCGCGTGTTACGGCGCCAACTCAGGCTCATAAGTGCCCAAACCTCCCGGTTGAGCTGGGGGCAACGCCCGTCGGGTGCCCGGGGGGCCCATGGGTCGAGCGCTCGCGAGCGACAGCGATGGCGCCCGAGGGGCGGCCAACCCACAGGCGGGGGTGCTACTTGGGTTCCCCCCGGCCCGGGCAGCACCGAACGTCGCCCCTTGGGGACCTGCGCTTGGTGCGGTGGGGGTTGCGCCTGGGGGGAGAACGTCTTGTTCTGATCACTTTTTGCTCCTCACTGCTATATGTCGGCTGAATTCTTTGTGCGGGGCGGGAGGGCACGGCTCGCTGCCATGTCTGCACGGGGGCGGTTGGATTCGTGGAATCTTCCCCCGTGCAACGGGCAGCGTGAGGCCGGTATCCGCCTGATCACCGGGTACCGGCGAGGGCGTGGTGTTGCGTTTGGTCTGGGCGTGATCCTTAAGGTGTCTCCCCGTGGTGTTGCGCTGGAGCAGCTGCTCCAGAGTGATCTCCCTCTTCATGTATTCGAGCTGCGTGGTATGGGGGGTCGGAAGGGGGGTGGGGGAAACGACAGGGGGTGCCGCGTCATTCGGCGAGCCTGTCGGTCGAAACGTCGCCGCCTTCTAGGTCGCCCCCCTTTGCGCTGGAGTGTAGCCTTGTACTGCACTCCGGGGGCGGGGGCCTTGTGCCCTGACGACGTGGAGCCCACTCCCCGGCGCCGGGAGGTGGCCTTGTACCGCCTCCCAGGGAGTGGTCTCCTTCCCGACCGGCAGGGGAGCGACTCTGGATTCCGAAATGAGGCGGCCCTTCCTTGGGCCCGAAATAGCATGAATGCTTCGAGGTATGCGTGTCTTGTATGTGTATGTGCGTGTGTGGACACGGGTGTGTGTGCGTGTATGTGGACACATATGCGTGTCTTGTATGTGTATGTGCGTGTGTGGACACGGGTGTGTGTGTGTGCGTGTGTGTGGACACAGCGTGCGGGGCGCACTTGTGGGAGTACGTGATCCACTGTGTTATTGTGCCAATATTCGAGTTCCCGCGGGTGCCTCAATCATCGGCATGTTCTTCCAGGACGGGCGTTGCAAGGCTCCACATCCTGATGATGCGCCATCACTCCCAGCATGGGCTCTGGTTATGAAAAAAAGGGCCCCCGCGCCTCGTTCCTCCTGGTCGTCCCTCCCTCCCTCGCCTCCTCTGCTCGGGTCTGGGGTCCGGGGGGGGCCGGGGTCTTGGGGTTGCTGGGGCGACGGAGGGCGGCTCCATGAGCCTACATCCCCTCCCTGCACGAGCACGAGCACGAATGATGGCGATCATCGGCATGTTCTTCCAGGACGGCTTGACTGGCTCTGCCTGGGGCGACTGGGCGCTCTACACCGGATCCCCGCTGCGCGCGTTCGAGAGCGAGATCGGTGTCCAGGCTCCTGTCGGCTTCTGGGACCCCATGGGCCTGAGCTCCGACGGGGACGTCGCCACCTTCAAGCGCCGCAGGACGACTGAGCTGAAGCACGGGCGCGTGTCCATGTGGGCCGCGATGGGCTACATCGCACCAGAGTACTTCAAGTGGCCCGGGTACTTGTCCCCCTCTGCAGGTCTGAAGTTCGCGGACGTCCCCAACGGACTGGCCGCCCTGTCGAAGGTGCCCCTGTCTGGCTGGCTGCAGATCGTGTTGTTCGCGGGCTACTGGGAGTTCGGCACCTACAACAGCACGGCCCCTCCAGGCGACTTGGGCTGGAAGGCGATCACGTCTTCGGACCCGGAGGTTCTGAAGCGCAAGCTGAACGCAGAGATGGCCAACGGCCGCTTGGCGATGATGGCCATCATGGGTATGCTCTATCAGGACGGCCTCACCGGCTCCGCCTGGGGCGATTGGGACCTGTACACCGACTCTCCCTTGCGCTGAGCCATGCGGGGATGCCACAGACTCGCCGTCATCGCCGCACGCCGCTTCCGCGTCGCTTTGCTACACTACGTCTTCATCATCGCCGTCTTCGTCCTGGTCGTCACCACAGCCATCATCACAAGCACCGTCGTGGCCATCCTCACAGTCATAGGCATTATTGCTCACTCCGTCGCTCCTACGTGAACGCTCCCCACTCCCACAAGAGAGAGAGAGAGAGCAGGGGGAATTGGCGGGGCCCTGCAGGCTTGCCGAGAGGTCCCCGAGTCCACCCCAGAGGACCCCGGGATTCAGGCAGTGTGCGCCGTCACAACTCTTCGGTCGCTTGCTGTTACCATGCCCCCTGACTCACCACCCACCAAACCACCCCAACCCAACCCGAAGGCCCCAATTTATCCTCGATTTCCAGTGGGGGGGGTCTTGGGATATTGAGAAAACACATATGGAACCCGTACCCCCCCAACCCGAAATTCGGGTCTTCGGGTTGGGCTGGGGTGGTCTGGTAGGTAGTCACTGACACTGTCCGCAGGGGCCGCCTCTGTCCCCGGACCCTCCGTGGCCCCCGCGCCTCCCGCCCGCGGACGCCCGCTGCGCCCGCCGGCCGTCGCCCCCGACCGGCGCCCCTCTCCCTCGCCTGCCGTGGCCCCCGGCTGCCTCCGGCTGCCCCTGGCCCCGGTGCTTCCCTCTGCCGGCCTCGGCCCACTTGGCCCTGGGGAGCCCCATCCCCCCCCGTAGTTCAGAGCCCCGAATCATCAGGGGTAACTCGGGTCAGGGCTAACTCGGGTTCGTTTTCCGGGAATCCGAACCCGAGTTACCCCGGACCCGAGTTGCCCCGGATAACTCGGGCGTCCAGAGCCCCGAATCATCAGGGATAACTCGGGTCAGGGCTAACTCGGGTTCCTTTTCTGGGAATCCAAACCCGAGTTACCCCGGACCCGAGTTACCCCGGATAATTCGGGCGCCCAAGTAGTGGTCGTCCTCTTCGCCGCAAACACACCTTGCAAGTCAGCTATGGTAATGGGCCCCGGCGGCTGTGGTGCTTTGTGGTGCTTCGTTTCTTCCGTGATCGGGCCCGCAGCGCTCAGAGCTCGCGTGCGGCTGCCTCCGCTTGTTCGGGGGCGGAAAACAGGGGGGTGATGACCAGGGGGGGGTGGATATCATGGCGTGGGCCATGATACCTCCCCAGATTTCACGGCGCCTCTTCTTACTTCGTTACGCCCCTGGCCCCCCCGCTGGGCCGCGCACATGCCGCCGGTCATGATTTGCACCCCCCCGTCTTGGACAGCCCCCTCTTGGCCGCTCCCGACTTGTGGGACCGCGCCCTTGGGCGGGGGGATCTGTTCGCGCTGGCTCGGGGGCCGAGGTGGCCCGGGACTCGGTGCCGGCCAGCAGAAGTGCCGCCACGGCCGGGGCACTGCTCTCAAGCAGTGGCGACGCGTCTTGGCGTGCCTGCAGTCCTACCAAACAATGGTCTAAGATTAAGTCGGGCCTGTCCCCCTACAGGGGGATTTTCGACGAAAAATGAAAAAAATAACCACACGTGCCCCAAAATGGTCAAAAGATGATCAAAACATAGTCTCCAGGCTGTGTTTGGACTATTGTTGGATTATTTTTGGTGTATGTTTTATTTGTCGTCGAAAATCCCCCTGTAGGGGGACAGGCCCGAATTAAGTCTAAGAACCTTGTGTGGCTGCCACGGGATGTTCTTAGAACATTTCTGGTCGGGGCGGTCTTGTGTTGTCGCATCGGGTCTCTGTTCTAAGAACATTGTTCTTGCTCTGAGAACACTCTGGGGGCTCCAAGAACAGTTCGTGGCAGGACAATAGGAATGCCGGGACGCTGGGTCCCTGCTCAATGCTCGGAACACGTGCCGGGGGGTTCGAGGACCGCTCCTCCTCCTCCTCCTCCTCCTCCAACGCCTCCCACTTCTTCTCCTCCTCACCCTTCTCCTCCGACTCCTCGTCCTCCTCCTCCTCCTCCTCCTCCTCCTCCTCGGATGGCCCCTCGGACCGCACCCCCTCCCTTAGAACCGATTGCCTCGAGGCCCACGGAGCGCAAAGATAGCCCCCAGCCGCTCGCGCTCGATCTGCAAGGCCTGCGCTCTCCGTCGCCGGGCCGCTGCCCTTCGCTGGGCAGCTCACGCCGACGCACGGTGAACCATCGGGGGTGGACAGACCTCCTCCCCTGACACGCCGATTAGCGATTCCAGGGGGTGCACAGATTTCCAGGTTTTCCTGTTCTTCCGCGCGGGCTCCAGGGACGAATGGTCGAGCGCATTCCCAGAAGGCCTTCTCAGAAGGCCTTCTCATAAGGCGGGGGTGGGCAGGCCTCCTACCCTGACACGCCGATCAGCGAGTTGGCCGTTTGCGGTTCGCGAGAGGGCGTCGCGGCCGTCGTTTTTGCGGGTCCAGGTCCGTCGGCTTCGGTCCCAGGCCGTTTTCACTTCAGGGGGGCTTACTAAAGAGAGGTTTGACCACCGCCGAAACCAGCGAGCTGGTGCCACGTCCGCCCGGGAGCGGCTGCCGACCAGCCCGATGCCCCGATGTCGTCCGCGTTGCTCGCGCGAGGCTGCCGTGGCCCATGCCTGCGCGCTGCGTGCGCGTGGTTGTCTGGCAGCCTCGTGCCCGCCCCTCCCCCTGTCGCACGTTGCGCTCCAGGGAGGACTCGTGCGCGGCGACGGACCTGCGCGCGCGGCGGATGCGCCCCCTCATCGCTCCCTACTCTCACGCCAGCCCCTCCGGGCTGGCCCCCTGGCGCCACGACCCTCAGGATGCAGCGCTGATGCACCCGTGATGACCCATCCGGCACGATCCCGCTCCATTCGGCCCAATCCCGCTGGAGTCGGCTCACTCCCTGGTCGAGTGCGGTCGAGTCCAGTGGAACTGCCCCTTTGTGGTTCTCACGAAGACCCCCGATATTCTCCCCTGGGCTCGCGCCAGGTGAGCCCAGTGTCCCATGTCAGTTCCGACCTTCTGCACGTTGGGCGGCCCTTCCTCGCACTGCGGGGCGACAGGCGGAAGAGGTGCCAGCCCTCGACTCTCGGGGAGGGAGCTGCTGAACCAGCTGGGCACTGCGTTTGCGCTCGCGCCGCTCCGACCGACTCCTCTTCGGGCAAGATCTGTATCCACGTCCACAGCAAAAGCGTTTGTGGCCTCGGGGGCTCAAAGATTGCGTAATTTAGTTTGCACGGGTTTATGGCCTGGCACATGGAGCTGCAACTGGCACATGGAGCTGGAAGCCCAATCTGTGCAGCCTGATGGCCCCACAAGGGGGCCGGCGGATTATTGGACAGGGTGGCGACGGCCTTGTGAGCCTGATGCGGCACATGAACGGAAGCTCGAGGGTGAACGTCCATTGCGTCTTGGAGTCCCCGGGCTCCCCTCCCCAGAAACCCGAGGCGCAGTGTGTGTGTGTATATATATATATGAACACAAGAGCCTGGCCCCACAGAGGCCAGACTTTCATATCCGCGTCCCCTGCGCCTCGGCCTCTCGTCGCCCCCCTCCCCCGAGGGTCCAAGACGCAGTGCCCACGGACAGGAACCTTGCTTGGGGTAGCCAAAAGGTGCCGATACCGCTGCCCCCAGACTCCTCGCCCCCCTCCCCCGAGGGTCCAAGACGCAGTGGCCACGGACAGGAACCTTGCTTGGGGTAACCAAAAGGTGCCGATACCGCTACCCCCAGACTCCTCCCGGGGTGCGTTCTGACCAGGATTTCGAGGCGAATCCAACAGTGGCGACGAGGGCCTCCCAGGAGGCCCAACAAGGGGGAATGCGGGCGAGAGGGAGAGGCATGGGTACGTTTTCCTCCGATTGCCCGCCCGTCCTCGCGTTCCCCGCCTTCTGGGATGGGCCTCCCCCCCTCGCATACTCGGGTTACTCAGGGTCGGCTCGGAGCGACGGACGTTCGACGCAGCTCCGACGCACGAGTGAAGCGAATGTCTCCAGGAAGGTCCCAGACTGAGCATCCCCCCCCCGTCGCAAAGTCGGGGGCTGGGGGAGAAACTTCGCTCGCGAGGGGAAGCTCCCTCTGAGCCGCGGCCCGCCGCGGTGGCAAGGGGGGCTCCCGGCAGGCCATCCGCAGATCCGCCCCGCTCCCCCCTGCCGCGGCGGCGGCGGCGGCGGCGGCGGCGGCGGCGGCGGCGGCGACGACGACGACGACGACGACGACGACGACGACGACGACGACGACGACGACGACGACGACCCCCGCGGCCCCCGTCCGCCCCCTCTCGCGCTCCAGGAGGCGTGGCGGCCACCGAGGACCAGCCCGCCGACGCCTGCGCGCTCGACCCGGGCTCCTTCGCGGCGGCCGCCTGCGGGGCGGCCGGCACGAGCTGGCGGGCCCCCGTTGGGCGGGCGTTCGGGAGGTTGCTCAAGGTGCCCCGTGGAGGGCGTCGGTAGCTTCGTATCGCTCGGACGTGTGCGCTTTTTCTCGGCGGGGGATTGTTCAGGAGCATCCTGGATCATTCTGCGAAAAAACCACGCACGAAACCGAAGAAAGCACAGGGAATGGACGTCCGATCGATGGCCAGGCAAGGGCATCCCAAACGGGCTCCGAAAGGATGGGGAGATCGCGCCGCATCGGCGGTGCACCGGAGCCGCCGGCGTGGAAAAAAGTGTTGGACCCCATTTGGGAGGCCGAGGGCAGCAGGGGTGCGCATCGAGAGACGACCGTCGAGCTAGAGCAAGGCATCGGACGTTGCTGAAGAGAAATTCCCTGGCCCAGAGTGCCCCCAGCTTTTCGCGCTATTGTGGAGCCCCTGGGGGCACCCCTGGGCCTCGTGGTGGGGTTCTCTGGAGGCCGCGGGGGCCTTCCTTTAAGCCGGGCCTGTCCCTCAGTAAAAACAGTTAAGCCGGGCCTGTCCCTCAGCCTACAGGAGGAATATTCACACACAGTAAAGAATCACAGCCCCGAATCATCAGGGGTAACTCGGGTCAGGGTTAACTCGGGTTCGTTTTTTCGGGAATCCGAACCCGAGTTACCCTGGGCCCGAGCTACCCCGGATAATTCGGGCGCCCAGAGCCCCACATCATCAGTGGTAACTCGGGTCAGGGTTAACTCGGGTTCCTTTTTCGGGAATCCAAACCCGAATTACCCTGGACCCGAATTACCCCCGGATAACTCGGGCGCCCCAAAAAACCAGTCTCGGGACGATTTTTCAACTATTTGTTGAGCTTTTGGGGGGGTATTGCTCGAGTCTGTTTTCTTTTTCGCCCCAAACCCCCCTGTAGGGGGACACGCCCGACCTACAGTGCCGTTTTTAATACATGCTCCGCGTGCGGATCATGTATTAAACATGCAGGGATTCAGTATGAAAAAACAACGAGGAGCTCATGCATCAACTCATTCATAGATTCAGCATGTATAAGAAATCATATATGATTAAACATCCGATGTACTCCAGATTTCGTAATTAAAGGGAGGGGATCTCAACCCTCCCAGACGAGAAGTTTTAGACCCTCCCAGACCATCCATGAAAGGGCGGCCCTTTGCCAAGACCCCCCCGAACCCTCCAAGACAGCTCAACTCAGACCCCCCTTCAAATGTGACCCCCCGACGTTATTATTGAATCGCTTCGCTCATGCCGCCGGCCCTGGAGCCCTCTGTAGGGCCTCTTGGGGACCTCTTGGGAGTCTCTCGGGGCTCCTTGGCGGCGTTTTGGAGGCCCCCAGGGCCTCCTTGGGGGGCTCTTGGGGGTAGTCGACCCCCGACTCTATTATTGAATCCCCGGAGTATGTTGAAACATCCTATGTATAAAAAAACTGCCCCGTAGGCCTCCCCGGAGAGCTCCCGGGGGCCCCCCCCAAGGGCAGGAGCACGCACTTTAAACGGAGAAGATTAAAGGCGAGGTATAAATCGAGCATGTACCGCTGCCGTGCCTGGCTCAAGCCGGGCCCGGCCAAATATGTGATTGTGCCTCACCGAGGCGCACGACTTGTATCTGAGATCGGAAAATACCTTTTCCATTGACGATGCCCATCCTATCCTTTACTCCAGATCCCATGCTTCGTCTTGCTCTCTTGCTCATGCGATATGAGCCAAAGCCTGGGATATGGGAACGCCTAAGGCGTAATATATACCTAAGCTTACCAGTGCGTTTTCGACTTGGTAGCGGAGCTGGCTACACTCTCGTGTGGCTGGCTCTCGCTCTGATTCCTGTAATCCACGGCACAACTTGGTGGACTACTACTACGGTGGAATACCATGTTGCGCCGGCTCTGCGAGGAGCGGAGCCAGTCCGCGATCGAGCTAGCGGGGCAACCCGCGAACTCGAGACGCTCTCTCCTACTTCACTGCGCCACTTCACTCTCGACTTCCACCAGATGCCAATCGGCAACTCGATCGAGAACGTGGTCACCCTGCGGGGCTACCCGCAGCGGGGCCACCTGCATCCCGTGCCAGTCAGGCGCCTCACGGCTACTACGCCAGAGCCTGACAAACCACAGCCTAAACCAATCACCGAAGCCGAAATGCACATGCACTGGATTAAGATAACTATCTTCGGCATTCTGTGGGTAATAATGGGATGTGCTGTGGGATACATGCGGCAGGGGATGGACGACACGCGTACTGCCGGCCCTTCGTGGGACCCTGCCGGTACTACGCCTTTTCGCGAATATGTTCGCGAAGTACATGCATGGTTAAACGTAACGAGCGGCAATATGACACCACCACAACAAGCTGCAGCACTACAACGAGGCCTTCAAGGTCTTGCTCGTCGTATCGCCATGCAGGTCCCCTCCCAGATCATCAATTATGGTGTAACTGTCAATGGACAGCCAACGGATGCAGTCACATATATACTGTACTTACTGAGCACCAAATTTGAAAATCTGGAAGATGAGCGCCAGCTCAACTCTGGCACTGCCCTTATCGACTTTCGCGTCGAAAGGGGCGAGCGAATCGACTCAGTGTTAGCTCGATTCGAGATGGCCCGTGACGAGGCTAACTCTGTTGGATTTGTCATCCCCAACTTTCAGATCCTAACGCTGATTCTCTTCAGAGCGTTAGGCGTTGGCGCGTCACGAGCTCAACACCTGCTGGAGCCCTTTACATCAGATGCCCCGAACGCAAGCAGACTATGACAGGCTGCTGACCAGGATGAGGAACTACGGACATGTTGCCGAGCGCTCTCCTGGCAACATTGCGGGTATCTTCGCAGGGCACCACTCACATGCAGGTGTCTACGCCACGACTGCGGGGTCACCCGCTGGTCCTGGCGAGCCAAATCCCTGGGCTGACCCAGCCGATATGCCCAACGAGGCCACTGCCTTTTTAGGGCAGACCGGCCAGGCATCGGCAGAGGCAGCTGAGGCGAACGCCTGGTCGAACTACTCGCCAGGCGCCGCCTACACTGCAAGCCCGCCCTCGGGCACAACCCTCTGGGGCCAAGCGGAGTCATCCGCTCAATGGTCTCAGCCACCCTCACCGTTTGAATCTGGCACTGACACAGATACCTCATCTGACGATGAGCACAATGGCATAGTCTCTGCTGGTAATGACTATCCAGCGGATGACACTCACCTTTCTGAACAACAAAGAGCGGAAGCCGCTTTTATGGCTTATCGCAAATCAAAACGCCGTTGGAGGCGCTTTATGAAGAAACCAGTCAGAAAAGTGAGACGTGCAGTACGCCGACATTTCAAACGATATGGAAAGGGTCGTGGCAAAGGGGGTCGCAGACGCCGTATGCATGGTAGGGGTATTACTGCTTTCCTCACGTCCTTAACTGATATAGCTTTGAAGAAGTTCTTATCGGAGGCAAAGGTCGGGGTCACAGGCGGACCTCCGGTAAGGGAAAAGGGCGGAGGGGCAACCCTAGGGACGCTTCTGGCAATACTATGAAGTGTCATACATGCGGTAGCACAGAGCATTTGCGCGATCAATGCCCGAAGGGGAAAGGAAAGGGATCCGTACATTTGGCTCAAAATTCTTTTATGGATGACATAGACTACATTGACTACGAGTTTTACGTCAATCCAGAAGCGGCTCCCGCTGCGGGCTCCTCCACGTATTACGTGATGGCCCGCTACGCTGAAGCAACCGTAGCCCTGGAAGACTACGCAGTGACCCTCTTCGACGAGTTCCACGGCTGGGACGAAGTCGACGAGGTCGCGTTCAATGCTTGGTTCGGTCTTCCAGCGGGGCCACCCGCCGACGACGAGGTCTCCGAAGCTGAGACCGTCCCGGCGACCGAGGAAGAGCTCACCGCCGCGCTGGCACCGCAGGTGATTGGCACGCCGTTGCTGCCAGATCTTTCGCGAGCTGGCTCGGAGGCGGGAGACGCTGATGACGAAATGCGGGGCCATCCCGCGTATACTGACTCCGAAGAGGACTATAAGGACATGCTCCAAGAGCAGGTCGCAGAAGCAATCCGGCTCCTGAGTGCGCCAGCACATCAGCAGATAACCATGAACGACCTGCTGTCGCGCCCAGGGGCTGCACGGCTGCGTCCATACCTGGACTCGGACATGTCGGCGCCTCAGATGCTGACAGCACTCCAGGCTCTAGCGGGGTCACCCGCCGAAGTGACGCCAGCCGCAACAGCGGGGCCACCCGCTTGGTCTATGGATGTATTTATGCAGGGTTGTGATCAAATGGACCTCAACGACCTCACGATGGAGCAGTTAAACGACATCGGGTACTTCCGAAGCCCGTATCAACGCGTATTCATGGTCCAGGACAGCTCAGAGGACTCGGAGGACATGCGCTACGCCAAGAGGGACAGACGACCATCGCCTCCCCGAGACTCAGAGCATGACGATCAAAGGCCAATGGAACGTGGTAGTGCGTCAGCGGGGCCAGCCCGCAGGAGGAGCCGTTCAGCTCCCAGACGCCCTACACATGATGCATCGGGCTACCCGTACAGTACTGAGCACTCCGTTGGTGTATCCGCTCAGCACGTGCCGGATTGGTACATCAACTGGTACCCCGGCTACTCGATGGACGTGATCCGCCACTGGTATTCTAAGGAGTACTGCACCAAAAGGGACGAAACTGGCATGATAATACGTACCAAGGGTGGCAAGACCAAAACGCCAGAGGCTTGGGACAAAAGGGCTAAGAAACAGGAGATCATCAACGATCGCAAGACATACAGGAAACAAGTATGTCAGTGCGAGCCCTTCAAAGGTCACATGCGCAGTTGTCCGATGGACCGCCCCTCCAGGAGTCCTCATCACGGTGAGACCCCGTGGAATTGGTCTCATGGAGATGACGCTGGCAACGTCCATGATCCTAACAAGGAGGTCCCTGGAGGAGGAAAGCGCATCACCGAAGCCGATCGCGTCCCTATGACCGAAGAGGTGGCCAACATCGTCAGGGAAAATTGGGTAC